TGAAAAAAGAAAGCATTGTCATACATTCATTTATTTGAGACTTATCGTCGATAGGTACATAAAGAGTTTTCGAAACCCTACTTTATTTTTCTTTTGGAGGTTAAATATAATAATCGTAGGTTTAAAATTTTTCTAACATAATATCATAGATTCTGATAGTAGTCTAAATGGGTCACTAGTAATTAATTTTCTACACATAGCTAATATATTCGCAGGTATTGAATCAATATTTTTATAATTGTATAATTGAAGCAGAGCAAGCGTAAAATAGAAATTTTATTTCAGAAATAAACCGTTTAAGAAATGTTTTAAATAGTATTAAGTTATATTAAAGAAAAGTTTGCCGTACTCTCAACTAGATTCACTTGGCTAATTGGATTTGCTGGTACTTTGTAGAAAAACGAATTAATTCTTTTCCAGTGTTTTCTTTTCGTACTTAAAACTTTGTAAAAATATGTTAAATAGGTCAAATAAAATAATTAAATAAACTCATTAAAAATTTGTGAGTTATACATATATACGTATAATAAATATTTATAATTGCTAAACTTTATATTGTGATTATAATATTGGTGTAAGTATCAACATAGTAGCTGAAAATTATCAGTAGCTACTGAATAGTTTATTGTTAGTCGAAGTTGCTGGTATAATCCACACTTAGGTGCGTTTTGATTAATCTTGCCATCCATCTACTTAAGAAAGTACTTGTTTCAGCCGAGAGGAACGGCAAACACTCCTCTCGAGTGTACATTTTCTACAATAATTACTTTATAAATATATATGTTATATACAGTAATAAGTGATTCTATATAGCAAGATTTTAGTTAGTATTAATAAAAATGTTAATATACTCAAAATTCCAAAGCCGTGAACGTCTTAATTTTTTTATTATGTAATATATGATAACAAATTTATACATTCAGGATTCTGGAATTTGTTATTACGTATTAATTTGTTTATATTATTATATATATACACTTTGATGTGTTGATGAAAGGAATTTGTCGAGTATGGAGAATGTAACATTAGACATGACTATATTTCGTCGAGCATACTTGAATCCAACGTAGCAGAAGGCGAGCCGATGGTATTCAGTTCGCTTTGTTAGTGGTGTTTCATCACCATACCTAAATTAACACCCAAAGTTTTTGGTGTGAATCAACATCAAATATATGACTACCAAAGCACAACGCTTTGAAGTTATTTCTAGTTACTCTATAGATACGTTTGTTAGGTTATATTTTCACTAAAATGCAACGTGCAATTTTATTTGTTGCACTCAAGGTAAGAGACGGTTGAAACGTTTGTAATTAAAATAGTGAATGCCCAGCCTCTATTACGGTGATTGTAGACTATTTTTTTTTTCAAAGCCTACATAATGGAAACAGCATACACTAGAATATTCTACTAATGACTCTTTACTGCTTCTGTTACATACACGCTTCTAAATTAAATCTAAAGTGTTTATTCGTTTTAATGCCACAATTAATTCATCTTTACCTCAGTAATATATTTTATTCTTATGAGTTATTTCCAGTAAAACAATACAAAACAGTAGCTGAACCCCTGAAATAGGAGATAAATAAAAAAAATAGGAGGCAGTGAAAAAAAAAAGTTGTTTCTTGTGGCTGTCCATGTGAATCAGTGAATGAAATATCCTGTTTATTAAGTTAGGATATAATCCACTCGTGTACCTTATGTCATTTAGAACCAGTGAAGAGACTTCCATGACTGACTAGATACAGCTGGACGCGCTGTGTTAGTTTGGGAGGGCATGTTAAACTATCGTTCGGTAGGTTACTTCAAGAACTTTCGTTTATCGAAGGTGGTCTAGTAGTTCACAATATCAGAAGCCGTTTACTTTTTAATACTACTACTTTTACTCATGAGGGGGCCATATGAGTTAAAGTCTTAGTATCTATTTATATTTCTTGAGTGAGGGTTCTTTGGAGACTTCCTTAATAGGATACTTAGATATTTTTATTTAAACCTACATGATAGGCATTAAACTAATATTGAAACTAAATTATAATATTATAATTACATTGTCAATAGAAAACCCGATAAACGATAAATAAATTCATTTTTCACTTATGATCATTATTTTGTTCAAGAGCAATAAGTTACTCTTTTAATTTAGGTTGTGGTTATAATTTGTTAGATAATTTTACGTCAACGTTACTTCCATTTCTGACAGAATTGCTAATATTTCAAAAATAAATTAATATTACGCTTTATTAAAGGCCTTGAAACGATAATAAAATAAGTGGATAATAAAGTAACTGAAGGGGCGTTGCTTAGCCCCATTAAATTATTTTACGTTGGTAACGAAGAGTAAATGCGACAAAATCACTTGATTGTAGCACAATCATCCTCTTATCATATTCTCAATAAATTGAATTCAGCTTTATGAGTACTTACCCAAAAACCCTGGGCTATAAAGTCAAGGGGATTAGTATTGATCGACTAATATTCTAAGAATATATTTATGCGCTTCAATTTTGTTCAAAATAAAATCCATTTTCTGAGTAGGTAATATCAAGTTTACTTTCACTGCCATGCCATGCTTAATTATTTAAGCGCAGTTATTTTAGCATTTATATATATATATATATATATATATATATATATATATATATATATATATATATATATATATATATATATATATATATATATATATATATATATTATAACAAAAACAGGTTTATTTAGAATACTGTAGCAGTATAAATAAGTTCTATTATACATAAACATAATGGAGAGTTGGGAGTATAGTCATTCTTTTGTTTTTAATGGTTTGTCAGAAAATAATGATGGAATGATGGATCATTTGGCCAATAAAAAATAATTAATATTATTATTAAAGAAATAAAAATAATTACAGATCGTGTTCCAGAACGAAGTTCATAATATTGTGATAAAAATATTATGAATGCGTGATGTACTGACAGGATAAGTAAATAAGCATAATTTAAGATTCATTACCGTTACGGAATAACAACAGGAGCAAAATACAGACAAAAATTAATGATGATAATTTTGAATTTACTCACAGTTTCACAATATTATTATAGAAAATTAAAACTATTACCATACACTTACATACTTTTTGGTTACCTATCATATCGTGACTATAATATCATATAAATACCTGTCGTACTACGGTAAACATAAAAGCGTCCATTAAAAGTATTCTAGGTTAAAATAACAGCACCACCAGTCTGGGTGGCGATCTGTCATGGCCTATGGTGGCTTGTCAAAATCCTTTTAAACACCATTTCGCACCTGCACTCGTTGTGGCACTATCTGCCCCTTTATATCATAATTTTATTGATTTACGACGCACTGTTTTGCATAATTTTGTAATAATAAATAACTTCCTACCAAGTAATATTATGAATGTAAAATTTGTTCTATTTTTTTTTTGTTTATAGCGTCGTAACAGAGTTAGTTGTTTTGAATTTTTATATTTTGCGTAGATATAGATAAAGACTACTTCTTCAATTGACCTAAAAAGAAGGAAGTTCTGAAGTCGGTTGTATTTGTTACCCCATAATTCCATCAGTTGTAAAGAACAGTACAAATTTATAAAATTCATTTTTTATCTGAAAGGATATACATTAGTCAGGTTAAAATCAGTTAAGTAGTTTAGTTTTTAAGTTAAAATAACTGATTTTGGCACAATTGGAATCATTTTTGCAATACAATTTTAAATTATATCTTAGTCAGTTAGTATGGGACGGATCACGCAGAAAAGTCACAACTCACACTATTTAATACATTTTGCACTTATTTTAGAGCTATTTTAATATCCTTTAAAAATAGATTGTGTGCAAATGTAATCTATTATTTTATTAATTTATAAGTATAAATTAATAAAGCAATAGCTGACGCGATATTAATATAAAATCGAAATATGAATTGAATCCAGAAACGTAACAATTCACGTAAAGGTACAAAAAGAAATATATTAAAAAAGTTGAATCATTACTAAAAATAAAATACAAACTTAAGACGTCGCCTCCTATATTCCAATTATTAATTTGGGATTGGCATAATATATTTCCTTCTTCTATTCTTCTCTGTTCGCTATTATTTCTACATTCACTGCCATTCTAATCATACCATCTTTTACATAACCCATCCATGTCTTTTTAGATTTTCATTTGCCCTTATAGCCATCTATATTCATACCTAATGCTTTTCTTAAAATTACAAACTTAATTACTTTTTAATTTATCTATGCCATTATTAATAAAACAGAAGTTATTTAGATTAGACTCAGTTAAGAAAGATTTATTCTCTATTTCGACCTTCTCAATATATTTTGACAATCAAATAAAGATAACAATGGAGATATTTTCATCATCTTTTTTTCGAAAAAATCTTTTTATAAAAGATCTATAAGGATTTTTGCATTATAAGAGTTGCAAAGGAGCAAATTTAATAATGGAAGTTATTTGATATAAAAAAAATAAATCCAATGGAATATATATGTAAGTTAAAAAATAAATAAATTATTTTACATCGTCTCTAGAAATTTGTATATAAATAGATCTATTCGTCATCATCATAATTTCAACCATTACCTATCCATTGCTGAATACAGACTGAAAAAGGTCCATTATTCAGTTCAAAATTACAAATGTATGATACGAACGAGATAAAAGTAGGCACTTTCACTACCTCGCATAAAAGTTTGTTGGAAATAGAAAACAACCCATAATTATACATAAATAATGTATCACACACTACATTCAAACTACTTACTTGTTTAATTGTATTATGCTGAAGTTACGCCGTCATTACGGATTGGCGGCGATCAATATAGGCATCTATTAGCTATATGTTAATTATACATATTCGAATCAGGGCCCGGACAGTGTCAGATACAGTCAAAACATCGATTGTGTACATACTGAGTGAAGTTAGTTCCGTGTCAGACGCGTCCGACCCCTCAGTGCCCGTGCCCCGCCCCGTACTTACAGTGCCCCGGAGTATGCTCTGACGTATACACGCAGTATCAGTGCTATCCGATTTCTTACGCCACTGGGGCGATATTCCATTATCATATTATCTGTAGTTTTTGACTTAAAATGAATACAGAGGCACTGATAGAATTGGTACGACAACATAAAATTCTATATGATATAACGGATCCATATTATTTGAATAGTAACAAGAAGAATTCAATATGGCGGCACATAGGAAGAGAATTAAAGAGCGATGGTGAGTTGCAAACATCTATATGAAAAGGTTTAGGTATCTATATTATAAGGATCGAGACTAGAGGGAGACTTTGTATCTAAGTCGTTTGCTTGGGCACCTCTGTGCCATTCGTGTTTCTACTGTGAAGCAGTTATATTTCGGTTTGAAGGGTGGGATATGGCGTGAATTTACTGGGTACAGAGGAATAACACTTGAGTCCTCAGGAGTGGCAACGCGTTTTTTTTTTGGAAATACAATTTGAATAAACATACTTTTATATATAAATTTTATAATATTAGTGAGTACATGTAATCTTTACAGAAATGTATATGAAAATAATATTATGTAATTTTTTCCATAGACTTGCTTCACACATCAAACGTTAGATTCATCGAATCACATCAAATGACAGCTCATTTGATTAAATAAATCTTCTTAAATTAAATGAAAAATGTTACAGGTTTTTTTTCTTAATTTGCCGCCTTCACGAGTCACAAGCTGATGTAAAATTAGAAAAGTTTGTTTGAAATAAAAGAGAAGTAACTATGTTATAGGAAAATACAGCAATTTAAATATATTTAATACTAACTTCTGTAGTATTTTTGGTGTGGTTCTATCTTCATTTGTTATTTTTTTTCCAGTGTATAGAATAAACTTAAACACATTTATGTTTAAAATTTAATCATTATAGGCATATAGAAAAACAGTTTTACAAATTTATCTTCGTCATTTGGAGATAATTATTTGATAATTTGTTATTGGGTAATTGTTGAACTGCATGTATTGGTTTTGTAGAGAATAAGAAAAAAATTTGAACGAAAACTTTTTTAGTGATAACTTTAAGTAATTTATGTTTTTTCAGGGTCAGCATGCAAGTCCCGATGGAATAACATCAGAGATCAATTTCGGAAATCTTTAAAGAAAACGATAACAAAAAGTGGTCGACAAAAATTTTATAGATATCACGAACAAATGTCATTTCTTCGGCCATTTTTAAATGAAAGAGAAAGTACCAGCAATACAATAAGACAGAGTGACTATAATATAACAGATACGGCGTTAGACAGTAGTTCCCAACATTCTACACATTCTTTGCTGTCTCTCCTAGAAAGCAGGCAAAACATTGAACAATCACCGAATTCATTAAATCATTCGGAAGAACAAGATTCAAATGCAATATCCAACTCGTCCTTAGTTATTACGCCCCGTCTTTCTATTGACCAAGCTTCAGAGCTACGTTCAACACCATCTCCACGATTTCTTGAGTCTCCTCAAGAAGCTATTAAAATACCAAATTCAGCTGCTGGCACTTTGATAGAATACTTATTAAAAAAGAAAAATGAGGACGATCCATTACGTAACACTGTGGAGGAACATCCTATTGATAAGTTTTTGCAATGTATTGCTCCTACTTTAAAATGTCTTACACCGTATTATCAAAACTTAGCAAAGAGTGATATATTTACCGTTGTACAAAAATATGAAATGGCTATGTTTACACAAAACAAGGAAACACAAAATGATGGACAAAACCAGAACAGTAATAGTATTGTATCTGAGATTCAGGCCATAGTAAAAATAGAGAAATAGTAGTTTTGTTGTACATATTAATAAATTAGTATAATTTTAATCTCCTTATTGTCCAGAATACCTCAAAGTTTAAAGATCTTCAACCGGTACGTGTTACTAGTGATGAACCGAAACATGATCCTATACGGTTGCCCGTATGCAAAAGCTTCAAATTACTCAGTAAGCTATGGAGAGAGCTATGCTTAGAGTTTCTTTTCGTGACAGAATTCAGAATAAGGATATCTGCAAAAGAACCAAAGTTGCCGACAAAGTTCGAAGGATAAACAAGCTGAAATGGCAATGGAGCACATAGCTCGAAGAACCGACAACTGATGGGGAGGCATGGTTCTTGAGTGGCGATGAAAATATTTCAGAATTACGAAAATTATTATTAATAATTTTAAGAGTGTTAGTCTGGAATTTGTTTAGTTTTATTTATGAGTAGTAAGAAGAAACATCATTGCCGTGTGATTCTGGTATAGAATGAACCACCCTTTCTTTTCCCTTGGGTGTCGTAAGAGGGTACCAACTAAGAACTTAATACTCGAGGGATAGGCAGCACCGTCCCTCTTAATCATCAAAGCCTGACTACGGTTGCTAACTTGCCTGTCAAGCGTAGCAATAACTGGCAAAATCCCCAAGAGATAGGCCTATGTTCAGCAGTCGATAGTTAATGGCTGATGTGATATGGTGTAGAAGAAACATCTGATGCTTTAACTTCTTTATCTTTTCATTTTATTTCTGAATTTGATATCTAATTAAAAGATTTGTTTTAAATAGTACTTGTACTGTATTTATTTAATCAATACTCATATTAAATTATATTTCTATTTTTTTTTATTTCTTTATTTAAGGATGTTAATTCTTGTTTGAATATTCACTTCTGTTGGTAAACATAATACAATGTAAGCTTATTATAAATTTTGAACGCTAAGGCGTAGGTAGATGATAAAAAAAAACGATACAAGGTCATACATGAAAATAACTCATAGTCACTGGAATTTCATTTTTGTTTAAATATTATGTGTCAGAATACATAACTATTCTACGGTACCATTTATAAACTGTATCCAGCGAGTTGTGTTTTTATAATCCTATATTTCTTTTCAATGACAGCAAATGTTTATTATAATATATTTTCAATTGCGCTTAAATTATTTAAATAAATAGTACAGTAACCAGAATTTACGGGTATTGTTTAAAAATATACATTTTTGTTTATAATATTTTTTGTCTATCTCAAACTTCAAATTTAACCTTTTCTATATTAACATGAAAATTTTTAATGCGTTTTATATTGAATTCTTTAATAAATATTTTATATAGTACTAGTATTTTGCCGGTTACTTCGTAGGTGTGGAATTCAAAAGCGAGGGAACCAATGAAATGGAGCACTTCTGGGTGGCGTATCAATATACTCGTAAAATATAGGTACAACAGACTTTAAGGTACGGTACACCTTTAGGAACGCAATAGTAAAAACCGTATTTTATTTTTGCGCGGCATCACGATGATGAATATGAACAGTCATACAGTCAGACGGACAAAAAGTTCAATAAAGTTCGGGTGTGGCATAGGGCACTAATCTCAAAACTACCTTCATTTGGGTTGCCTGCGAGATTGTGCAGTTGGGTCGCCAGCTTTCTTAAGGAACGTAGCATTAAGGTCGTAGTCGACGGAGCATGCTCTGACTTAAAACCTGTGAATGCTGGTGTCCCGCAAGGCTGTGTACTATCTCCGACACTGTTTCTTCTGCATATCAATGATATGTTACAGATCAGTGATATTCATTGTTATGCGGACGACAGTACAGGAGATGCATTATACACCGGTCATGCAAAGATCTCGCGGGCACATACCGATGAGCTCCGAAACAGACTTGTGTCTGAAATCGAAACTTCACTCGATAAAGTTTCGATCTGGGGTGAACGCAATCTTGTTCACTTTAACCCTAAGAAGACACAAGTCTGCGCGTTCACCGCAAAAAAGACACCGTTTGTCGTATCACCTCACTTTCAGGGCACTTCCCTTGATAATAAGTCGAGTCTGGGGATTCTTGGCGTCGATATATCTAGCGACGTCCAGTTTTGCGGTCATCTGGAGGAAAAAGCTAAGATAGCTTCCAAAAAGTTGGGGGTGCTCAATAGGGTGAGACGGTATTTCACGCCAGAAAACCGCCTGAAACTGTATAAAGCTCAAGTGAGGCCACACATGGAATACTGTTCTCACCTGTGGGCAGGAGCGCCACAGTACCAACTCTTTCCGTTAGACCGCATTCAAAGTCGGGCAGCTCGAATTGTTGACGATCGGCGTCTTACTGTCCGGCTCGACCCACTGAAACTGCGTAGAGATGTTGCATCTCTGTGCATCTTCTACCGAATTTATCATGGGGAGTGCTCTGAAGAATTGTTCGGATTGATACCTGCTGCAGATTTTCACCATCGTACAACCCGCCATAAACTAAAATTTCATCCCAACCATCTGGACGAGTGGCGGTCCTCCACCGTGCGTTTTTCAAGGCACTTTCTTCCACGCACAACCACTCTTTGGAATCAACTTCCAGCAGCAGTATTTCCGAACCGATACGACAACATAACCTTCAAGAAAAGAGCATATTCCTTTTTAAAAGGCCGGCAGCACACCTGCAATGCCGTAGGTGTTGTGGGTGACCATGGGCGGCGGTAGTCACTTACCATCAGGTGAGCCGCATGCTCGTTTGCCCCCTGTGTTGTAAAAAAAAAAAAAAAATTTTTAGAAATATTGATTTTATTAGGATTCTATTGCTCTTTTTACTTAAGATTCCTCATATAACATTTTCTTGAACATCTCCTTCTATTTCTAACAAATGTATAATATTATATAACACTTAGATGACTTAGAATAGCAAACAAGCTAATGGCTCAGTAGACACTGATATGAAAAACAACATGAACATCACTGAATACGCTATAATACTGATCTAATAATACTTCGTCTTAGTCATTAAAAATATGAGTTACTAATGATTAAGAAAACTGATATTTAAGGATAAAGGAAACCCGATATTTAAAAAGAAACTCAGTGGCTAAAATTTTTAAAGAATAGGTATTTTGCAAATGTAATTACTAAGTTGTAATTACACATACAAGCACATTCACAGTATAGACATTCTCAAGACTTTAACCAACATACCCTTAAACAATACTTACTCTTAAAAACATGAGTAGGTAATATGTATTTTATACATGCTGTTTTATAATTTTACAATTTGTATTACGTATATGTTTATTTTTGTACAATATATATAACATCGTTGTGGAAATGGGCGCAAATGACTGCATTGCAGTTTTTATTAATGCAGTTGTCTGATTTTACTTATATTTTAAATAAATTCTTCTTCTTAAAATTCTTAAATGTATTGTTGTCGTGTTGTGCTAGGTTCTGGAAGAAAGGGACATTATATACTATATCTTTGTTTGATAAATACCTGAATGAAACATTGCCGAAATCGTCATTACGTTTCCCCTATTTTCTCTTCCAAATCATATTCGATTTTGTTATATTTTCAATCATAATACTAGAAGGTCTTTGGCTATGTTTTTACGTCTTTAATTTATTTTTCATTCTCATCAAATTAGTTTAATGGATATTTCATAGAAATTTGCTAAATTTCGTAATATTTGAAAATTAATAATATTTAGTTCTTTTTTTTTTCAAATATTAATGACAAATTAATATTTTGAAAAAAGGAAAACCTGCCATGGTTCTAGCATGGCAGGGATCGACATATGTATTGAATGATGAAAAAGTTTCATTCTAGTGTATATTCAGGGAGAAAACAGGGGATGTGTGGGAAAACCGATGCCCGCGTTTTTTATTAAAGAGATGTCTAATTTTGAGTGTACCAACATAATAGAATGTATAATGAATGTATGAATGGTACCTGGTAATGGTATGGTACTCATTTATGCCTGACTTCAAAAAAGAAGTAGGTCATCAATTTGGTTGTATTTTTAAATTTCTTACCTAAGTAGTCCTTATATAAAATAAAAAAGAAATCCTTTATATACACATGCAATACAAGAGCGATCGACAAATGAGCGACAAAGTATTTAAATTAAACGATCGAACCAAGAAGAGTTATCCAATAATGGGTAAATCCAGTGTCAGAAAAAAGAAGTATAAACAGCTTTTATTTATTTTTCTATGGGTAATAAATATCTTAATGAAACATCTGAGATGGTCTTAAATGCCAGATATACGGCCGGATAGTAACTAACCACTCTCAACTAGGGAAGTGTCTTTGAATGACTTAAGTTGTCTTATAAGCTATAATACGGTAAACTGGAGCAAGCTCTTTGGACTTAAAGTGTTTCCGAATCGTTTTGCGAATTGGTTACGAGCCAAAACGTTATTAATTGTCCGTAAAATTTACTGTTTTGTTTATTTTACTTGGCGGCGGGTAGGTAACGGATTCTGTTTAACTTTTAAAGTTAGAGATAATGCAAATAAATAAAATTTAAGTTCTTCTTGCTGAAATGGTTCTATTCATAGTTGCTTAACATCTTTGTTGCTCATTATATCATTTATTCATTCAACATCTATACAATGCAATTTGTATGAACGATTTATATCTATAAGATTTACTAGTTTTTACATGCGACTTCGTCCGTATGATCGGTATTAGGTTTTTTTATTACATAAAATATTATATAAAATATTACATTGTTCTATGGTTCAACATGGTTCATGAATAGGACCAACCGAAAGGAGAACATTCCACTATTAATAGTTAGCTGCACTATGCCCTTTTACTAAGCGCCTTTTCACTCTACGTTTGAAGGATCTGAGGTTCTAGGATGAAGGAAACACGTTGATTGATTGATTGATTAAAATAGTCTACTTACTAGCAGAAACATATACTTGTTTATATAAAATACGAGCACTATTTATATACCAAATTTTACGACCATTAGTGAGCTATCATTATATCAACCTTTATCTGTCTACTGCTGAACATAAGCTTCCTCGTTAGGGGTTTTGCCAGTAGTTGTCATGCTAACAGGCGGATTGACAACCGCAGTTAGGCTTTAGAGATATTTTAATCGCTCTCCTTTAGTCGCCTCTTACGACACCCACAGGAAAGGAAGGGGTGGCCTATTCTATGCCGAGACCACATGAGTAGTGAGCTATCATAGCGCCAAGAAATAACAAACAAACTCTAAAAAAACAAAAAATACTATTTATCACTTTAAATAACGAATTTTCCATAGTGATTCATGAATTTATATTATTACCAAGGACAAGAGACATAATATCCTAATTCCTCGAAATGAGGGAACTGCGACTATACCGTCTATTAACATACATAATAATAATTACTGCTGAGTATAAATAACTACTAACTGGGTTTCCTTTCCATTATCTCTAGTCCTTTCAGCGATGATTATATATAGGAATATTATTATTAATTATATCCTGCTGCTTTGCCTTGGCAGATAAGGTTAAAGTATCATATTTATGTGTATTTATTCAAGATATTATTTTAGTCTACTTATAATTATATCAAATTTCATTTAATTTTGTTCAGCCGTTTATGTGTAAATAAGTAACAAACATCAAGATATCCAAACACATTTTTTAGAAACATTTTTTTTAATATATTTATTTAGTTAGCATTAGTAACTTATCTTTAAGATCTATTTTCTTCTAGTTCACAAATTTCCACGTTTATAATGTTAATAGTATAGCTTTTATTGGTTTCGAATATCTTAATCTCGTTCCAAGAAGTTCGCCAGTTATAGTTGAACTGTTTTATAAAACTCGTAAAGTTTAAACACTAGTCTGGCATGAAGCACTGACTTTAAACTCAGTCAATATCTATTTAAGTATAGGTATAGTAGTCACTATATAAAAATTAGTTATTTTATTGATAAAAGTTTCGTAAGAACACATTATATTTTAATGTAATAACTATCGGTTTAAATTAGTTGTAATTAGATGGAAAAACAGTCACTCATGGCTAAGGATCATGAATTGATTCCAAAACTAGTCGAGCTTTATCGTAATTATACGCAAGTTAAATCCGTAGTTATTATAATAAAATTAGTTATTGTTTATTAAAATTTTGAAAGTTTTATTTTTGCTATATAATAACCAATTAATATAAATTT